CCTCAGATTCGCTTCTCCGCACGTCCTACCTTCCAGTAAGTGGTCGCTTTTCTGTTCAGAGAGTTGTTGCTATTCTTCTCTTCAATCTCCTGTTGAATTCGTAGGTGTTCAGAATGGTTTGATCCCTATCCAGCTGAATTCCTGAGACCAGATGAAACCCAGGTCTCCTACTCCTCCGCCATCTTGCTCTCCTAGTCTCTCATTACTTTTTTTTTTAAGATTTTTATTTATTTATTTGACAGAGAGGGCGAGAGAGCACAAGCAGGGGGAACAGTAGAGGGACAGGGAGAAATAGGCTCCGGGCCAAGCAGGGAGACTGATGCGGAACTCGATTCCAGGACCCTGAGATCATGACCTGAGCTGAAGGTAGATGCTTAACCATCTGAGCCACCCAGGCACCCCTACTTTTTCTTTTAAAAAAGCAGTTCTTCCTTGTCACTTTTTTTTTTTGAAGTGAACATAACCTCAAGATTTTATTGTCTTCATAATATTAACAAAATATAAAGCTTAGAACTGGATCACTTGGCCCTTCCTCTTCTTATCTCCTCCCAGTTCAAAATGCTTGCATCTCTTAATAGCCAGCATTCTCTTAGATCTGCAGTTGAGCTCAACACATTCAAGCCTCAGCACAATCTTCTTTGTAGTTTTAGCCTTTTTCCGGAAAATTGGCTTAGTCTGCCCACGATAGCCACTCTGCTTCCTGTCATAATGCCGCTTTCCCTGGGCATAAAGAGAATCTTTGCCCTTCTTGTACTGTGTCACTTTGTGGGGCTGGTGCTTCCACACTTCTTGCAGACAGTCCGGCAGGTTTTAGGAACGTTCACCCTGTTTGCGAGAGCACTATAAGCACAGAAAAAGCTGTCACCTTAAGTTTTAAAAATGTTTTGCACAGGGGTTCCTGGCTGGCTCAGTCAGCAGAGCATGGGACTCTTGATCTCAGGGTTGTGAGTTGGAGCTCCATGTTGGGTGTAGAGATTACTTAAATAAATAAATGTTTTTAAAAAAGTTTTGCACAGTAGAGTATTTAAAAATATATTAGAAAATCACATCAGAGATATTTCAGGTAAGAGTCATCAATGAATATTTAAATCATTGAGTGAAAGTTTAATGAGGAGCAGGATATTTACACAGTCTCAAAGTATCTCTCCACAGATTATTTAATAACTTTACAGTGAAGAAATTGATCAAAGTTAATATCACCAGAATGGGGAATGACATAATGTGCCTCCTGATATGATGTACTGAAAAAGATACAATATCGCTCATAGAGTATTACTGCTAAATAAATTGAATTTAATCATGAGAAAATAACAAACTGAGGAATATTCTATAAAACAACAGACACTCTTCACGATGTTAATATCATGAAAGACAAAGAAAGGATGAGAAACTAAGTTGAAAGTGGTATAAAGAAACATGACATTAGGGACACCAGGGTGGCTCAGTTAAGCATCTGCCTTCTGCTTAGATCATGATCCCAGGGTCCTGGGATTGGGTTTCCAGCTCAGCAGGGAGTCTGATTCTCTCTCTCCCTCTGCCCCTCCCCCTGCTCATGCTCTCTCTCGCTCACTCTCTCTCTCAAATAAATAAAATCTTTAAAAAAAAATGACATTAAATACAATGCATGGTCCTGGACTGGACCCTGTATCAAGAAAAAAAAATCCATAAAAGACATTAGTAAAACAATTAGAAAATTTTGAGTATGGACTACACATAATAGTACTGGATCAATGTTAAATAACCTCAATTTTTAAATTATATTGTGGTTATGTAAGAGAACAGCTTTGTTCTTAGGATATACACACATTAGTATTTAGGTACTGCAATTTTCAAATAGTTTAGTAAGAGTAATAATAAGGATATAATACATAGTGTGTGCTGTGTGTATTCAGAGAATTTGGGAATTCATTATACTATTCCTGTAACTTTATCTAAATTTGATATTTTTTTGAAACAAAAAAGTTTTTTTAAAAATTGATGCTAGACATGTATTGTACAATATACACCCATATAAATTACCTTTAAAGGATCCACAAGTTCCAAGGTATGTTTTAGGTATATTAAATTTGTTATCTTTGATTCAGCTGCATTAACCTGTTAAAATAAAGACCCAAATGTAGACACCATAAATATACAAGAATGGATTTTCTCTTGAAATTCTACACTTACCATATCCATACATTTTTATTTATCAACCTACCCAGCATAGACAATAGTTACAACTACTGACCCGTCATAATAAGCCTAGTGCACTAGTTTTCTGAAAGTCTGACAATGAGAAGAGTTCACCTCATTGTGTCCAACTTCCATTTCTACTTCAGCCACTCGGGTCCAGCTTAACCTACAGTAGTGATAGGAGATACAGTTCAATCCTGAGCAGTACTAACAGACTAACATTTACTGAAAAAGGCACAAAGGGTATTTGTGAAAGATGATATTTGAAAAGCTGAGTCCGAACCTCCCAGATAGTTACAGAAAAACAAAAATTTCCCTCATTGGTTCCTGTTTGTGCAAGTAAAACAATTTTCATAATTCCAGTTGTCCAAATTAACTATAGTTTTTCAAAATAAAGCAACATCAACATTCAAAATTTTATAAATAAACTTTTTAAAATTAAATTATACTATCTCTAGAACCAAACAATGGTATTAAACCTTGAGAAATGAAGAATGTCTTGTGAATGGACAAATTTACCAATATTGACGAAGAGTTTTAGGATATTACATTATGATATAATGTACTTGATATAGGGCTCTTTCTTTTGGAAGTCGCCTGACCTATATCCCTATTGCACAATACCTGGACTGTTTGTTGACTACATGAGCCAATTTAGAAGAAATACTAAAATGAATGTTGTTGGCCCCAAAACAAGTTACTGCAGGCTCTCACAATGGATCTCTGAAACTGGAAGATTAAAAATAAATAATATTCACCAAACAGAAGACAACTATCATCCCTATTACCAAAGGAGAATTTCTTCAAAAATACCAATTTACCTTTGAAGAAGAAGAAGGTAGAAGGACTAACTCTAATGAATAACAGCCTATAATAAAGTTAGAGTAATTAAGAAACTGTAGCATCAGCACAAGGACAGACAGAGCAACCAATGGAACAGAATAAGGAGTCTAGAAACAGACTCAAACATATGATTTAACCCAAATATTTCATTTATGACAAAGGTTGACTACAGAGTAATGGGGAAAGGACAGTTTTTTTCTATAAATGGTGCCAATAAGATTATGAATCTGTATGAAAAAAAGGAAATGTGGCCCCTTCCTCACACCACATACAAATATCAATTCCATATGGATTATAGATCTAAATACAAGAAGTAAAACAATAAAACATCTGGAATATTACAAAGAAGGTATCTTCACTACCCTGTTCTAACCAACTTCTATAAATTTGATAATTAATGATCTGACATACATTAATCATAGGGCCAAACTAATGGCCAAAGTTGTTTATATTTCCCCCATGGTCTCGCTTTTGTGGGTGAACAGATTATCATATTACAAACCCTGCAACCACAAACTCTTAATATCTGTGTTTTGCTTCCTACTCAGTAGGGGACATTCCCACCTAATACTACCCACTACAGTAGTAACGAAGGCTTCTGTGATGTTTTCTCCTCACTCCTTCTGGCTCCTGACCATGTGACCCTGCGTGGCATGATCTCTCCTCTCAGAAATTTTAAGTAATACAAATCTTTAAATGGCCTTAGTCCCTCCATGTCATCACTTAGTCATCTCCATAAATTAAAATCCCATGGGTACAATCAAGACATTGGGGTAGGTAAAGACTTCCTATGTAGGATACAACAACCACTATAAAGGAAAAAACATAAACTAAGTTACATTTAAATTAAGAACTTCTAATAAGGCAGAGAAAGATAATGAGGATCTCACTTATATGTAGAATCTAAAAACAAAAAATCAAGCTCATAGATACAGAGAACAGAATGGGAGCTGCCAGAAGCAGGGGTTAGGGGGTAGGTAAAATGGAAGAAGGAGGTCAAACCTCCAGTTATAAAATAAAAAAGTCATGAGGATGTAATGGACAGCATGGTCACTATAGTTAATAATACTGTACTGCATATTTGAAAGTTGCTGAGAATAGATCTTAAAAGTCTTCATCACTAGGGGAAAAATTAAGTGTGTATGAGGATGGATGTTAACTAGACTTATTGTGGTGGTCATTTTGCAATACATACAAATACCAAATCATAAAAAAAATAACTTCTATTCATCAAAAGGCACCACTGACGTAGGATAGGTTCTCCAAAAGCCAACTCTGAGAAATTAGAATTTGAGGACAAATAATTTATTTGAAAAGGCAAGAGAATAGGAAAGGGCAGCAATACAGGATACACTGATGATTAGGGTATCGCTGCTTGGTACTGTGGCTCATTCCTGCTGGAGACCTCTCAGAGATAGTGTAGAGTAAGCTTCAGAAGCTGTCTCCAGAGGTAAGGAAAATGGTGTATTTATTAACCTGGTTAAGACCTATTGCTGGGCAGTCACTTCCTGATTACCCTCCAGTTTCTCATGTGGCTAGATAAAGTCCTCAGGCAGAAAGTTTCAGCTGCTTGCAGTAAGAAGCCTTCCCTGTACAAAAGTGAATGGCAAGGGATGCGGGTGGCACAGCAACAGCATCTACTCCACAATATTGAGTAACAAAGCCACCCAAAGTGGGAAAAGATAGAATACAGAGGCCAGTAAAAGAATTATTCAGCCCGAATGTCAATCATGTCTAGGTTGAGAAATTCTGCTACAGAGGAGCTGTCTTGCTACAAGTATATAGGTACTCACTTACCCTCTTATATCACTGGTGATTTCCTCCCTATTTATTCCTTCTCTGTATCCCTCTCTCCAATCTCTCTATACCTTGCCAGCTTTGAAGAAATAAACTGCCACGAATTCTACAGTTGCAAGAAACTAAATGTTGCCAACACCATGAGTGGGGAGGCAGATCCTTCCCTAGTTGAGTACTCCACATGAGTATTCAGCCCTGGATAACATTTACCTGGACTTTGGGAGACCCAAAGCAGAGAATCAAGCTTGAATGTTCACAGACTCCTGACTCACAGGAACTGTGAGATAATAAATATGTGCAGTTTTAAGTTGCTATGGTCGTGGTAATTTGTTATGCAGCAATAGACAACTAATACAGAATCTCTTTGCAACTTGCTTCTTCAAAGCAATTTGGGAGATAATTCTCTACTGGCCTTTTGCATTTTTGCACATCTTCTGGGCAGAGGCATTGACTGCCTTTGTTCTGGATAGTCTTTTCAAAGATGTTAGTATAGTAAATAGCCTTGAAAAATATGGTGTCTGCTAGAGCAAAGTGTGAGTATGCTTATAGTTTTGGAGGCTAAGAAGTCCAAGATCAAGGTGCCAGCCAATTCAGTTCTTGTTGAGAACCCTGTTCTTGCTTTGCAGGCTGTCTCCTTCTTGTTATGTGCTCCCATGATAGAGAAAGAAAGATCTCTGCTCTCATCCTCCTTATAAGGGCACTAATCCCATAATGGGAGCTCCACTTACACGACCTCATCTAAACCTAATCATCTCCCAAAGGCCACTCCCCCACCTCCTAATACCATCACATCCAGGGTTAGGACTTCAACATATGAATTTGGAAAGGGAGGGGCACACAATCATTCAGTTCATAGCAGAGGCTATATTTTCAAATTCATCCTTCTCTTGACGAGGGGCTTTGTCTGTCACGATCTTGAGATGAACAACCTGGTAGAACTCCCTGTGAAAAGAAACCCCAACTAGTACATACTCTGTTTCTCACGTGCCAGGCACAATGCTGAGCATCTTACATTAAGATGGTATCTCCCTCCAGAACAGCAGGCAAACATACTTATTATCCAATGTAAAAGATTCAAGTTCCCTAAGCTCTGCAATTCTCTCCTGCAACACACTGCATGTGCAGGTTTCACCTGGTCCTCTTCACAACACCCTGTGGGAAATGGAGTTTGGGGAATCAGTCTAAGAAAATGCTAATAATCTAGCTGCTGCTTGTTCTAAACACTAAAGTCCTGTCTCTCTGACCCGGGAGTCTTGTGTCTTCTATTAGTATTTATGAAATTGGCAGGCTAATTTGTTAGCTTGCAAGTAGGGTAGAATATAAGATCCCTTGGAGTTTCTGCAATACTATGCTGTAATTGGTTATTTTTTTTTTACCCAAATCTCAGATTGGATTATAAATTCCTTTGGATTAGAGACTTATTTCTTACTATATCCTTACCACTTGTCACAATGATTAGTAAAATAACTTGGTAAATGAATTAAAGGAATAGCCATGTACTAGATACTCTATATGGCAGTCTGGAAATCAATGGGAAAAAAATTAAAAGTTATTCAAAATAAAGCAAAGAGGGGCACCTGGGTGACTCAGTCATTTGAGTGACCAACTCTTGGGTTTCCTTTAGGTCACGATCTCATGGGTCGTGAGATTGAGCCCCACAGTGAGCTCCACGCTCAGCGGGTAGTCATCTGCTTGAAGATTCTCTCCCTCTACCCCTCCCCACTTGCACGTGTGCTCTCTCTCTCCCTCTCTCTCTAAAATAAATAAATAAATCTTTAAAACAAAACAAATCAAAGAAATTGGGGTAAAAGCTTAGAAAAACTTTCTTTTTTTTGTTTTAAAAGGGTTTAAGCTTTTTTTTTTAATTAAGTGAGCTCTATATCCAATGTGGGGCTTGAACTCATAACCCTGAGATCAAGAGTGGTATGCTCTGACTGAACAAGCCAGATGCCCCAGAAAAACCTGTTTAATAAAATTTTCAAATGTTGGGGGATGTATTTTGAATGTTTATAATAGAAAACATAAGTATTCTTAATGCAACATATTAAAAGTAAGGTTATAAATATTACACAGAAAGAAAGATTAATCAAAATAAGAAATTTAAGTTTTATTCTCAGAGAAAATTTATGATCTAGAAAACACCATTTTCTAAAATCAATGTTCTTAAGAAGAAAGTATAAGAACTCATCTTAGGCAAACAATTCCATACTGGAAATTTTCAGAGAAAATTTAGTTCATTTAGAAGTTTGAGATAGCCATATAATTCAGCCAACAGAACA